AGTAATAATTTCATTTTCCAAGAGAGCCCCTCCCACAGGTGATGTTGTTTCTGGTGACTGAAAGAGTAGCGTTGAGAGCAGATGTGGGCATGCCCAGCAGTGGGTGGAGAAAACAACACCGAAGAAACAGAAGAACAATTTCAAATGAAAAAGACTAAATGATTTACATGCCAGGAGAGAGAATCAGACAATGTGCTGATTCAGTCTGTGTGACTGACAGGACAGATGATCAGTGGGGCTGAGTTTGTACCTCCCTGATGAGGACCAGGGCTGAAGAATGGAAAGAGTTTCTCAGTGAAGGAGGCAGTGAAGGTGTAGATATGAGACCAGTTGTCCACATTGTAAAAGGAGACCTGTCCCCCTTCATAGTCCACATACACCCCCACCTTCTGGGGCTTCTGGCTCAGGGGGAGGAGGACAGCAGGGGAAGAGTTTGCCTTGTACTCATTCGCTTTCCTCAGCCACACAGTCCAGTAACCATACTGGGGGCTCAGTGTGATCTTCCCCTTCCTGTTGATGGACTCTCTGGCGACGCCTAAATCCCAGTCAGTCTTCTCCCCCACCTCCACCTCCCAGTAGTGTCTCCCTGAGGTGATCCCATCCTTTCCCAGGACACAGGCACAACGATCAAATCTCTCTGGATTGTCAGGGAGATCCTGTCGTGTGTCTCCATCTCTCACTTGTTTCCTATCCTCAGACAGGATGAGATCAGGATGAGCTGTATTGGGGTCCAGAGTCACATCAGCTGTGGATCAGAGAGCAGACAGAGGATGAAATGATCTGTATCTCACTCCTCTCTCAGATGAAAGTACAGAAGCAGGTGTCTAGAGTGTGTATCAGGATTCACTCCAGCAGAAAGCTCACTGCAGTAAACTACAGTTCTGTTCAGTCTACTGATTTCAACTGGACTGGGCCTGCCTGTCCTGAGACACCCAGGGCATTCAGTGACAAAATAAAACTGAGCGATGGATTAATTAATTACACAAAACCCGTTGTCCTCTTCTCCACTGTTCTGGTACAGTTTGCACGTGATGCCTGCAGTCACAGGTACACATCACTGGTTTGGGTTGAACTCGTCTGCAGTCACTGGCGGTTGTTTGTGTGCAGCAGGTAAAAATAAAGAAAACACTTAAGAAAGTGTCAGTATTGTGCAGCCAGTGTGTAGTGGACATTACAGTGTGGACAGGATTGGTCCAGATGCTCTGGATGTGTTCTGATATGACTGGAGAGACTGGGCAGGCGGACCTGTGGAAATGGGCTCTCCTGGGTTGGTCAGGACAGACAGGCCCAGCCCAGCTCAGATGAGCTGTGAGCGTGTGCAGAGCTCTCACACTGCGAGAGTCTGGCTCCTGTGGGAGAAAGTGTCTTTAAATCTGAAGGAGACCTGATGATCCACTGTGT